CAGGGGTCCCCTCTCCCCTGCCTCTAGTACTTACCAGCTCAGAGTCGGCTGTAGCTCCCTGCTGCAGCCACCGGGGACTGCCCCAATCATCAACACTCTCCGAATCTTTGCCAAAGATTTGGAGATCATTGAATCAATTCAGACCTTTACATTTGGTCCCCTGATTTGATTTGGATTCAGAGATTTGGCCAGGGAATCGGGCCAAATCTCCTCCGAATCGAATCACCACCCAAAGCTTCGCACAGCCCTAGTAACCAGAAAATCACACTGCATATTCACGTCTAGTTTCTATCAAGTTTCTTCTCTTTCCACTTTCGATAGTGGAAAAGAAAGAAGAAAAGCCACATCTGTTTTCATCTTTCGGTTCCAGTTCTATGGGTCTTCCCACATTTCTTTCTGTAGGACTGGGATTTGAACGCACTTAGAGGTCTTTGAGGATTTAGAAATTACATTTGCCTCTCAAAGGTTTTCATCCTCACCGTATGCATTTATGAATCAGAACTTTAACAATATATATAACATTAAAATGCCTATTCCTATTTAGCAGGACAGCTTATAATGAGGAACCAAAAGGCAAATCATGATTCAGAGAGCTTATTAATTGTTACAAGTAGGGCTGGATTAATACTAAAATATGAGGCCTAATTAAAAACTGGTGCGATAGAAAGGACTTGGGATCTGGTTACTACAAGGCTGATCAAATGCCAGTACTTGCATTCTTGCGGCTTACTTTCTTCTAGTAGTTACAACAGAATCTAGCATTTGCAACAGCACTCGTTATCAGAAGAACTTCTCAAACAGGCAAGCATATGATTTACAAGCTGGCTTAGTGTTGATACGACCAGAATTTCAAAACATACCTGCCAATTTGAACGCAGAAGTCACCACGGATAGTGCCGGGCTTAGAATCTGCTGGATTTGTTTCCCCCAGCATCACTCTGCCAGTCTTAATGACATTAAGACCTTCCCATACCTTAAAGAAAAATCCAGTGAGATTTACAAAATCCAAATTGTAACTAACATGACAGCAGTCAGTAATGTGTTATTTAATATGCTATAAATTTAATACGCTAGGCCAACAACTTTATGAATAAGAACAGATCATCTCAACCATGTCGTTTTCTCTTTTGCAGTTTTCATTTTCAAAAACTCACCATAGCTACAACAGGTCCAGAGTGCATATATTCAACCAAACCAGCATAGAACGGCCGATCTTTCAGGTCAATGTAGTGTTCTTTGAGAAGGTCTTCTGATGCCTGAACAAAATGGATAAAAAAAAGACAAGCTTAGTGAAAGCATATTTAAATGCAAGAGATTAACAGAGCCCTCTTAATCCTCAAGCATGCAGCATTGTAAAAGTGTCACTTGACTGACATCAATTTAAAATGAAGATTTTGTATTTCAGTGTAGCGTTTAGTTTAGCAAGAGTGCTCTAACCATGTCTAATTTATTTGGAGAAACCTATTTTTGCCATAGATGTTAATAAATGTAGGATGCATCTGTAAGAATAGTACCTTCAGACTAAAATTAGGTTGCTCAGACTGTCTCATCCATTTAGATATAGCTGGGAATGACAAACTCTCAAAAAATAACCTGATACATCAGAATTTGATCATTTGACAACAGGCTTGTCCCTGGAATACACTATATATACAAAGAACAAATATACGAGGGACATTTACATGCAGTAATTTCAGGGCCACCAGTCTGAATCCTTTCTGTTCAAATCTCTTGATAATTTCTCCCACCAGTCCCCGCTGGACTCCATCAGGTTTGATAGCAATGAAAGTGCGCTCTGAAACGGAGGCCATTGTCCTACAATAGAGAAAAAAAGACTCCGTATTCTGTAAGCAGGACACAAATGCAGCCACAACAGAAGTCTACACAGCTACAATCTGGCACAGCCTAATTCAGCTTAATTTTAGCTCAGAATAATTCACCTATTCAAAACGATTCAACCATATGCTGCACTGACTAGAAAAGGCAGTTTAACCCAGGCACAGCTATAGGCAGAGAGAAAGGCAGCTAGGAGCTATTAAGAATGTGAAGATTTAAAATAAAAGAAGACTACAGATTCTGGCACAGGTGTACTCCAAGCTACATATTGCCACGTTGGTGCCTTCAGTTTAGGATACAACTCCCTGAAATATTTTTGCATGCATTTCTTTGATTTATAATTAACTGTCTACAGCAAACTGGTGTTCTGATGATGCACAGATTTCATAAGGTGCTATCTTTTCTTGGACCAACTCGGTAGTTGGGATAGAGTTTGGAAAAATGTCTTGCAGTTGAAAGCTTGTCACTCTATCCCAACTACAGAGTTGGCCCAATAAAAGGTAGCACCCTGAGAAATCCTCACCTCTCACATCATTTCTGCACCATTAGTGCTACAACATCTCTCTGACGCTACCTAAGGATGCACATCAGGCAGATGTGTGTGGAAGGAAGAATGAGTGTTACAACAGATCCCCCCAGGGATCGTGTCAGAGACACAGCCCCTGATCACTGCACGGCGGCCTACAAGGAGTCAGCTTGGTTCACAACACCGCTGACCTGTATGATACAAACGTAACATTGTCCTTGTTCCTTCCTATCTGATCGGTTTAGAAATAGAAAGCGTCACACACAGTCACTTGCAAGCTCCTTTGCTATTAAGGAAGGAGCGGCTGGAAGGGAATCGGCCTGATCATCCCGTTGCAAATCGGAACCGGCAGTGAAAAGCTGACAAAGACATGAACCCTCCTATGAATCCTGATCCCACGGCAGCTGCCCCATCCCCTTCTAGCCTTCCCAAATTCCCCATAGACCCCCACATTCCTCAGTAAGCTCCCACCTGCCTGGCTGCAGCCGCAGGGTCGGGGATGCTGGTGGTTATGACATCGCTGCCCAGCTGCCACCCAGTGCTAAGCCTGCTCCTGGCCACTCGCCCAGTGCCCCAGGTCACGCCAGGCCTGATCCAACCCACCCATGGGGAGGTCCTGTGCAGTCCAGGCTAGTTTCAGTCCAAGCTGGGCATCTTTCTAGGGGAGCATTTCCTGTGAGGGCTGTAGGTGCTGGGGGGAGCCTTCTGCCAACCCCCACCACAGCCCCTGCCTTGCGGAGGTGTGGTAGGGACACGAAGCATGGGCTGTTCAGTTACAAGATTCCTCTTTGACAGGCTGGTAAACTGAGGCACTGAGGGTCAGGGACTGGCCCTGGGTATCTGCGAGGAGGCCTTCCCCTGGCACAGGTCACTCAATATGCTTTGTGCCAAGGGCGTGCTGGAGGGTCTCAAGTCATTCCAGTAGCAGCAAACAACTAGCTCGCTAGACCCCTCCCTGCCCTGCCCCAGGTTTTGATCTGCCAAAATAAGCGATGTCCTGCCCTCCCACCCTGTCCTGCATCGCTCAAGAAAGGGAGAAGCAGCACTCATTCTAGAATTGCTTCTGCCACCCCTTCTTGCTCCTCCTGCCCCCTTCCCCTCCTCCCCCCGGGGATGCTACAATCATTTTACTAAGGACTAAGCCTTTCTACATAAGGGCCATGTTTCTTCTTAATCTTTGTGGAGCCCCTCAAAGGATTAACCTCATGTGTTCACTTACATGGGATTAAATAGTCTATGGTTGTGTAATTAGCCCGATGTTATTTAGGATTTGTCCCTTGTGCTTCACTCATGGCTGCACATAATATAAGCATAGTTAGCTGTTTAGTCTGAAGGGTAGATCTACACCTTTATGGACTAAATAAGATATATCTATATGTCTATATCGATATAGATATATCTATATAGCTATATAGATATATCTATATATATAGATATATATATAGAGAGAGAGAGAGAACACAAGCCTTTGTGAACCAAGTTCACTACATCAGATGCTGTGCAAGCAGGTGCAGAAAGCAGAGTACAAGGAGAGAGAAATTAGAATACAAAAGATGAAGAAGGGGAGGGGAGAGAGACATGCTAGGAAAGCAAAGCAAATACAAAGCAGGGCTGGGAGTAGACTGCTTGTCTGACAATCTAAATCTGGGGCAGGGGAGGGCTGGCTCTGGTGAGCTAGTTGTTTGCTGCTACTGAAGTGATTTGAGATCTTCCAGTACCCTTTGTGCAGAGCGTATTTAGCATATGTAACTAGGCCAGCCATCTTTAAAAAAAGGAAGTGTATCCAGAGACAGCAAATAAATAGAAAAAGTATCTTCAGAAGATCATTGTCATCAAGTCCTTATTGCCCATTCGTGCCAGTCCAAAGGTAGTCCCATTTTAAGGTATCCCAGGACTGCTAACTCTGAGAGCACAAAACTTACAAGTTGGGCCCTCAAAATCATACATATTGTGATGGCTTTTTATTATTTTTGCTTCTGTTTGCCCCGTGAAGTTGGAGTCTTTACATATGCTTGGGTCACATGTTAAGCTTTTCTCCCTGAACTTGTGGGTTAGATGCCTGTAAAAATAGCTATGGTTCTTTGTCAAGCTCTTACTGATGACGTTTTAACCAACCCGTCTCCTCACCAAGTGTAACAAGATTTGCAATAAGTAGGCCAAACAGTATGCGTTTTTTTACAAGCACGTGTCTGCTCCTCTACTATCTATTCTACTGTCACCAAAAAACAGTAGGTGACAACTGATATATTCTGAAAATTGCCTTACTTGAGCGTCTGCCTTCCCTTATTAGTGCATAAGCTTATTAAGTCAATGAATTTGTTTAAGATGCAAAAGAAGTTCATGACCCCTGTGTTGCTGGTGGTCTTGGTAAACCCTGAGTCATGAATTCAAAATAACGGAAGCCCAATGGACAGTTAAATATCTGACATGTCAGTTCCTGCAGTAGGACATAGAAATTTAACACCGAGAAGTGTATTCTCCTCCCCATAAACAGTCCAAGGCATTCTGTACTTCAGATGTGACGTTTGGGACCACATTTTCAACAGAGATCTCTGGGACTACACTTCCAACGTTTTGCGTGCATCCCTTGTTGCAGCTACTTTGGAAGCATGGGATATAGTTCTCTTTCTAGGATTCTCCAAGCATATATTACCAATTATTTCTCTGCCATTGCAGTGGCAGGGTATTGGCAGTGCCCTTGTATACTTTGCTTTTCATCTGTGGCATGTTGCAGCGTGTCCTCGGGGCTTCTGGATTTGTGCTTTATAGTTGCAGGATAATGTGAAGATACGGAATGATTTTTAGGAGTGTTGGGGAAAAGGCTGCCTGCAACCCCTCCAGTCCTCTGTTCCCGTAACGTTTCTTTTTAACCTGTTAACAACCCCTTGTTAAGCATTTTTGTGATTATACCAATATAGATGATGGTAATCTGCACAGTATTACTGTCAGCATTGCTAGCTCTCAGAAGGAAATAATTATGATGCCTCCGTACCATAGCAGGGAAGTTTGGTGCCCGGGGCAAGCCTGCAGTGGCAGCCTGCCTTCACCCTGCACACAGATCCGGGAGGCACAGGCCCCCCCGTGCTTGCCCGCAAATGAGCCGTTTGCAGCTCCATCCTGCACCCCGCCCCGGCTGGGCAGTGCCTGTTGGCGCCCCGTGGGCGCAGCGCCTGGGGCGACTGCCCCGCTCACCCCCTCCCTCTTGCTACGGCACAGTTCTCCTGAGCTTGTTGAAGGGAAGAAGAACGGTTCATTCAGCAGCAGTTCCCCTGTGGGAAGAAAATGAGGTTGAAAAACAGAGCCCTGTGGAATTAGACTGACTCTCAACAGCAAGGCACTTGGGTTGCGCTCTACAGTCTATAATAAAGAATTGTTTAGTGTACAGTGTCTCGGATCTCAGCATTGCCAAAATGAAACAGTAAGGCATACAATTTTATACCATCATGTTTACTTGTGACTTGTATATTTAGCTCTTGCTTCAGTTTGTCCTCTCTGTGCTCCATTTTATAATCTCTCTTCCCGATTGCATAATGTTTGCACTCTGGTCTCCGTCCTGATCTTTTCCCTGACTCTTTCCTATAACTGTTTATATTGTGGCTTTCTACCTTTACTTTTCTAACCCTCTAACTGGGTTATTTCCTGGTTCCTTTTTATTTTTCTGGTTGATGTCTTTGATCTTTCTTTCATTTGACCTTTAGCTCTATCTGATTACTTCTCTTACTTACTTTCTACTCTCCCTTTACTAATGTAAAGGACTCCACCCATGACTGGACCTTGGGTATAGACGGCTATACCCTGTACAGGAGGGATTGTGTAGATAAAAGGGGCGGGGTTGTAGCTCTCTACGTTAAGGAAAGCTACCTGTCCCTGCAAGCTGATGTTGGTGCGCAGGGTGGACGAGTGGAGGCCCTCTGGGTTAAAATCCGCGGGGAACACAGCACAGGGGACACAACGGTGGGAGTCTACTACAGACCTCCCACCCAAAGTCCTGAGCTTGACCAAGAGTTCGCCCGGGACCTGGCTGAGGCCGCATGCTCCAGGACCATGGTTGTCATGGGTGACTTCAATTACCCGGACTTCTCGAGGGAGGATCACTCAGCAAAATCCGAGCGGTCGCAAAGCTTCCTCTCGTGCATGAATGACCTCTACCTGACTCAAGAAGTTTATGGGCCAACGAGAGGCAAAGCGCTGCTCGACCTGGTACTGGCTACTGGGGGATGACCTAATCGGCGACCTAGTGATCGATGGGAAGCTGGGTGACAGCGACCACGAGCTGATCACCTTCACCATCCGCCATAAAGCTGGCAAGTCAGTCAGCAACACGGAAGTCCTTGATTTCAGGAAAGCCGACTTTGACAAGCTCAGGAGGCTTGTCGGTGAGGCCCTATGGGACCACGACCCCAGGGGGAGGGGAGCTCAGGAACAGTGGTTGCTCCTCAAGGGAGCGATCCTCAATGCACAAGCTAAGTCTTTTCCATCTCAGAGGAAAGGCAGCAAGAGGACACAGCAGCCCCCATGGCTCTCCAGGGACCTAGCAGACCTCCTGAGGCTAAAAAGAAAGGCCTACAAAGGATGGAGGATGGGATCCACCTCCAAGGAGGATTATTCTGCACTGGTCCGGACCTGCAGGGAGCAAACCAGGAAAGCCAAGGCTGCAACTGAACTCCAACTAGCTTCAAGCATCAAGGGCAATAAAAACTCCTTTTTCAGATATGTGGGGAGCAGGAGGAAAAGCAAGGGCAACATTGGACCCCTGCTGAACCAGATGGAACAACTGACAACTGACGCCCAGGAAAAAGCCAACCTATTAAATGGGTACTTTGCGTCAGTCTTTCATCAGTCCCATGGGACACCCATGCCCGCTATGGGCCAGGGAGGTCCAGGTGAGGGAGATCCCCTGCCCTCCATCAAAGCTGACCTCGTGAAGGAACATCTTGAGAAGCTGGACACCTTCAAGTCAGCCGGCCCTGACAATCTACAGCCCTAATGTCTATGAAATCTATGTCCCATAAGATTTTTCTTGTGTGCCTATATCCTCTAATTTTTCCACGGTACTAATTCATTCGCAGTGGAAACGCCAGGGAAACTCCCTCTCTGAGGTTTCTGCTCTTTGTTCCCAACATTTCAATAATTCCCTGCCAGGGAATTTATTTTTTTCCTCTCCTGTATACAAAATCCCAACTTTTAAGTACCTGTTTTGATAGTCATAACCAAGGGATAAGTGCATCCAGCTCCATAACCTGGCGAGTTTGTAAAATCAGACATGCACCAGTGGAGAATTTCTGCTTTAGGAGGACAGCTTAAATATGACAAGTCATTTTATTAAAAAAGGCCAGTCAGTTAAATTATAAATGGCTCCCGGGGATGCTATAGCCCATAAACTAAAATAGCTTCTACCTGCAGACAAGTGATACTCCGAAGGGTATGAAAGCATTTACTGCTTTCAAGAATGATCCAAAAAGCAGAATGTGGACTTGTGACACAATTACTATGGAGTAACTGATGCTGGATTTTCCTGTGTAGTAAGGAACAGACCCAGGTTCGTTTCTCTGAAGGGAGTGGCCAGTACTAGGTGCTATTAGAGCACCTGCCCACGAGGTGGTGAATGGAGTCAGTTTGCATTAAACAAACAGCTGCACCGGGGGAAATGATTGGGAAAACACTTATACTTTATACAGTTACTTATTTTCAGAGGGTAACTAAGAGGAGTGACTCCTGTACCTGTAAATTTACTCTGTAGTAATTTACTTTGTAGTAAGTGACTTGTTAGTCCACATCCTACATGATTTGCTGTCAGTGCCTGTCACTAGTTACTTATTGATCAATACAAATGAGATTCAGAGACATCAGCACCAGCAGGAAAGACATTTAAATGGCACATTTTGGTCTCTGATCTCCTTGGAGCAGCGACCTTCGCTCAAAACGTGTACAGAAAATAACTAGCATATTGTCGTTGTGCTTATAATCAATTGATCAATCAATCAAAATCAAACCAATCAATCATCATGTCTACACCATTAAGTTCTCTGGGGATGTTTTAAAACTATCTGCACACCATTTTTCTGTAGTTTTGAGGCATTACAGACATTTGGTTTGCAGCATCAAGTCTTTGGTCAGGGGCTTTTCTCCCCCATGTAAGTCCAAAAAAGTCATTGTTCCACACAGCTCAGTAATAAATGTTGATTCAAGTCTTGATTTTTAGCTTCTGAGTTGTTTTTAACTCAATCTCATCTTCGGCTATAGTGATGGGTTAGGATTCCTGTGCTCATCACAGAAAAGGCAGAATAGAGATGGAAATGATCTTTATTTTTTATTAAATTGGCAAACACTCAACAGTCATGTGAAAAAAACTGTCCTCCACAGATACCTCATCATCACAATGTTACTTTTATTTTCAGTCTGCCTCTTAACAGAATCAATATGTCTTTTCAAATAGGAAAGCCCTTACAAACCTTTAGCCAGTTATAATATGCCAGCAAGCTCTTAATGGGAAATGAACGGATAAAAGAAGGATTGGTGGGATGCTCAATAAATGTACAGAACCTACAGCTGTAGTGTGAAGATGTCTCTGCTATACAACAGTGAACGGCTGATTGAGTCCAGCGTGTTTGTAAACCACCTGAGGTTTTTCAAGACAGACCTAACCCAAAGCCATGAATGTGGACACCTGAAAAATACTTAGGACATTGCAGGTCTGGACCCTAAATTCGTGGCTCTGGTCCCAACTTTATAATGGTATGAGCTAAAACCCTATATATCTGTAACCCTAGGCAAGGGTAAAATTGCTGTCTGGTTCCAAACTTCATAGCTTAGTTTATATTTCTCTTTATAATTAGACTGTGAGAGCTGTGATGTATAGCTGCACCAGCTTTGCATGATGATGATTTGGTTACCATAACCACACCCTCTCATCTAGGGTGTATTTGATTTGAACTAAAATAATCTCCTCTGGGTAATGTCCCAGTTAAAATTTCATCCCAAGCTCATTTGAGGCCTAATTTCCTTCTGCAGTATTTTTTTTCAAATCTATTTACTTTTCAAACAAACTGTCATTTCTAGGGATAGAGAAGATTTTGTATTACTACCTGGCAAACTGTCATTTTATCAGGTATTAATTCCTAAGGGCATGAATTGTACTTTTTCCTTTATTGGACACCACCTAGCATCTCAGAGTAACAGGCAGGGTGCCTCCTACTCCTTAATTAGTTAACTAGGGGCACATCTACACGTGCGCATTTACTGCGCAGTATAGGTATGTGTCTACACGTGCACGCCTGTACTGCACAGTACATATGGTGACTTATACTGACTTGAATGTAAATTTGATACCTGCATCATGCAGGTATCAAATTTACCAGTAAATTGTAGATGCCTTACTGCGCAGTAACACTGTGCGTGTGGACTGACTTGGGACTAATTTTAGTCCCAAATCAGTCCACATACAGTGACTAAATGTGCCTCTAGTAGCTTACTGCGCAGTAAATTTAAGTCAGTGTAAATGCACCCGTAGACACGACCTAGGGTGATCATTTATAAAAATTCCTTAACGTCTTAGCAAGCAACAAGGCTATGCATCCCATAGCTGTGGCTGGAAACATCTTTTTCTGTTTCTAATGATCAGCTTCCTGGCCACAACCAATTCAAAGGTGCATATGACAAAATAGGAGCAGAATGACAGGCCAGTAGACAGGGTACGATGAGCACCTACACAAGTCCCCTTGCAACACATGCTTTCAGATTACAGTTTTTCTAAATGTGCCGATCCATGTACGGAAACATCATCAGACTGGAAATAATACAGTCAACAAACCATAGCCTATTAAAGCCTTCCCCCTAGCTTGTAGGTTCCCGGGGAATCCCTGGCTGGATTGGAGTCCTAGTGGACTACCACAGCAATATGAAAGAAAGCCACTCTGTTCTGTGTCTACTAACACAGCTGATGTCGAACAGATGGTCCTTAGAGAGCCCCCTCCTTTGATGGCTTTCAGCAAAGCACTGTGACCCAGTTTTGCTGTCTGCCGGTACAAATGTGTCTGGAACTTCTGCATTTGCATTATTTGGTGAAAATAACTGTCAGTAAAATCCTACTTAGAGAAACTCAAACTTATCAACCTTCTCACCTTAGAGCCATCTCAGTTTGCTTACAATTCCCTTGTGAAAAAGGAAATGCTTCTTCTGTATAAGGTTGCAAGGATGAAGTTTAAACCCCACCTCAGTCAGGAAGGTGCCTCTTCAAGACTGTCTGGATGATGGCGTAATGGAGCCACTTTGCCATCAGTGACATCCCTGCAAGGTTTAGTGAAGCCATGTAGAAGATCCATGAGAAGTGGGTGTCACCACGGGTTTGAACAGCTGTGCAATGAGTAAAACAGTCACTTGAAAGATGAGAGAAATCCTGGAAGTCAGCTCCTCGCAACAGTCCCTTGCCAAGGAAATAGCAAAGGCGGGGAAACATATGACAGCTGCAGGTGCTCTCTCCAGGGACAAAGACTAAAGAAAGACCATTTCTGGTATGTATTCAAGGGTGTGATCCAGTGGTTTAAATGAAAGTTTGCTGTATTAAAAACATGCCAAATTAGGCCTAAAATGGGATTACAACTGAAAATGTCATCTTGTTTTCTGCAGTTTGGACTAGTAAACAGGTCAGCTGCGTGCCCCTGTACTTCGTAATTCACTCTCAGGCTCCCTTTTTTTGGCTGGCCATACTTGTATGTGGTACCGGCTTAAGGAACATAACTCTTCTACATCTTTAAAACACTTGGCCAAACCCTTTTCAACCTTGCACCTCCTGTAGTTTCCCTCTCTGCAGTCGCACCAGCTCGGTGGATTTAAACGAACCATGCAGACACATTTTAAGTTCAGTAACTGCCTCTGGACAAGTCCAAACAAAGGAAAGCGTAATGTGAGCTTCTGCTGCTCTCCAGTGGAAAAATCACACAATTGCCGGTGGTAGAATTTCACTGCTCCACTCATTTTTGCCTTTTTAAAGCATGTTCTTCCCTAATCCCACTCTGGCAGGCAAGGTCCGTTGAGCAGCTGTGAGATCTTTTATTAGACCAACTGAGTAGTTGGAAAAAAGTTCTCAGCAAGCTTTCAGGCGTAGTCACCCACTCTTGCACACGATAACTGCGTCACAGAGACACAGGACTGGAAGGGACTTCCTGAGGTCATCTATCCAAACCCTCCCATACAAACCATCATCCATTCTAACCTCTGCATAAGAGGACCGTCAACCCTGACGGCACACACCTAACCCCCTAACCTGCCATCACAGCAGCCAGCGTCCTGCTTCTATGAAATGTTGTCCCTATATGCTCAGGAGATCCCGGGACTGGGCCATTCCCATCCCTCAGTTACACCCCAGGAAGAAGTCGGGCTTTTTGTGCTCAGAGGCCGGCCAAGTCCCACGGGCGCAGCACTGGTCTGGGAGCCGTGAGCCCTCAAATCTAGTCCCAGGTCTGCCGGTGACTTCATCCCAAACAAGTCCCTGCGCCTCCAATGAATTCTCCAGGCGGGGGGCGGGGCCCGCAGGGCTCGGTTGCGTCACAATCGCCCGGGCTGTCTCAGAATTCCACGACGTCAC